TTGGTCTCTTGAAACATAATCAAATGCTCGTCACTTATCTTAACAAATTATAAATAGATTAAATTGGTCTCACTGGATGCTGACGGAGGTTTGGTGAATGTATTAATAATAATCAAGACGAAGTATTCTCGAAACCTACATGTTTATTACTAATCTTGATATGTTTATTGACTTTTCTTTATTATGTGGCCAACTGTTTGGAAACTCATTTTAGCTTCATTCACATCAGAACAAAAGCGTATAATTAGATGGACACTCCGTTAGGTAGCACTGAAAGAGAATAAATGGATGATTCATATTCATATTACTCCTACAAATAAAGTGGACAAATTCAATAGACTTCATGTACTGATCATAAATATCTTGACAACAACACAATATAACAATAATGAATGATATTCCAACCAATGATACGTAATAACATACCATTATATATACGGACGAGAGAACAAAGAAGACAAAAAGCATCCTGTTACAACATTGTTTTGGTGAGAGGACATACAGGCACAATAATAGAATAAAGAATAAAGACAGGAAAAAGAAGAGACAATACCTAGATAGATACGAAGGTGAGCGGAAGGAAGGTATAGCCGAAAGAAAATTCATTATCAAAACCAAACGAGGAAAGGAGGACAACATGTTATTAGAGTAGACTAGTGGAAAATACGTGAGAAAAACGAAGAGTGGGTAGAAAAGAGACAGTGGAAGAGGTTGAAGATAAATATCAGAATAAAAGTGGTTAGAAAAGAGACAGTAGAAGAGATGAGAGAAAAAGATCAGAAGAAAAGTGGTTAGAAAAGAGATGAAGAGATGAGAGAAAAGAATCAAAAGAAGAGTGGTATAAAACGAGACTGTGGAAGAGATTGAAGAAAAGAATCAGAAGAAGAGTGAGTAGAAAAGAGACCAAGAGATGAGAGAAAAGACTCTAAAGAAGTATAAAATAATCAGAAAAGTTTGAAGAAAAGGAACAGAAGATAGTTTGAAGAAAGGAATCAAAAGTGTGGAGAAAAGAGTCAGGAGAAGATTTGAGAAAAAAGAGATAGTGAAAGACTTTGGAGAAAAGAATCAATAGAGAGTTTGGTTAAAATAGTCAGACGAGTATAGAGAAAAGAGAAAGTGGAAGAGGCTGGAGAAAAGAATCAGAAGAAGAGTGCGTAGATTTAGTGCTAGAGTTGAGAGAAAAAAATCAAAAGAAGAGTGGGTAGAAAAGGGACAAAGACTTGAAAGGAAAAAAATCAGAAGAAGAGTTTAGAGAAAAGAATAAGGAAGAATGGAGAAGAATGAGACAATGGAAGAGTTGAGAGAAAATGATCCGAAGAAGAGTGGGAAAGACAGTGGAAGAGTTGCAGAAAAGCATTAACAGAAGGGCCGAGAGAAAGAAGACAGTAAAATAGAAGAGGAACAAATAAAATAAATTGTAGTGGTTAAGAAGAGGGATGAAAGGCAGCGAGAAAAAATAGATCTAAAAGAAACATTGGAAGAGTAAAGAGAAAGAGTCAATGAAAGAATAGAGCAAAATATAAACTAAAAGAAAAGTGCAGAGTAAAAACAATTGAAGAGTATAGAGTTATTGGGGCGAGATAAGAGGTTTAACAGATTATTATAAAACAAAAACAAATACATATAATAATATATAAAGTGCTAAGGGCATCAATAAAATTGTTATAAAAAAAAATATTGCACGTGATCCGACTGTCTGTCATAATTTGAAAGTAAAAACAAGATGTGACAAATGTTTCATATAACAATAAGATTTTATAATTAACTTACAGTTAAAATCATCAGGGAAAATATATCATACATAATGCTGTAATCAACATGATATCTTATGATATATAAATAATGAGATAAGTCATTTGGGATGTTACCAGGTTGTCAATGTCCAATACACCATTGTGACAATAACGATTTATATTAATTATTAATACATTAAATACCACATACTCGAGAATTATCGTCACCTATCTTTTTAGTTGCGTGAAGATTTTAATACTATTCGGTGAAGGCTTATGCAGAGGGGGAATATACCGAAAAGAGGAAACCAAAGTAGTTACGAAGTATTCTGGTTGAACCATCATACCCAAATTCTTCATCATTAGTCTTCTCTTTTTCGGTTCTAGTCAACCACTTTTTTTATGTCAACCCCTTCCTCCTGCATCTCAGAGTTACAAAATTCTCTGGTATCATCTCGATCTCGAAATTGAACCCGGACCTGTAGGTCAGCGGGCAAGCGCAAAACACATACTTCCATCCACTGTCCTGTCCACTTCTCTAATATACACATTGAAATATTCAAAACCACAGTTTTCACACTATGATCTAGATTTCAGAGAAGTTTTACTTTAGGTTTTTCCAAACATCAGGCATCGCCAATATTAAGTCAAGTGCGACAAGAAGAATGTTGTTAAGATCATGGATTGTGTGACGTATAACCCTCAAAAAAGAAAGAACTAACATATATTGAGCTTTATTCAAATCATTTTACTGATAAACCGCAGGGTGGATGGTGAAGTGAGAATGACTATCTAGGTACCTAGACTGATCATTGTTGTTAATGAGGTGTTATCAACATTATGGCTCGAGGATATAACTTAGAATATTTACTTCTAATGAGAAGTATTTCAATATTTCATGTAAACGATTGAGGTAATTTGTTAATGGAATCCAGGCTCATTAAGATTATATTGAGCTACTTAACAATGACGTATAGAAGAGATTTAAATGTCATTTTATAACTTAGTCTATATGATGTCTCGTTGAAGTTTCAATAATTCAACATGAACTAATATCTAAATAGATAAGCATCAAATTAAAACCCTGACCAAGATCATCAATGTACATAAATTTATACCAAAATTGTATAATCTTTTCATAAAGTAAGGGCAACAACTTAAATATATCAAAAAGTATATCAAATTCGAACCAATCAAGAGTCACTAAACATACCAAATATTCGACATCTATAATTTTGTATTTCCTACAATAACTGTTATATATTATAAGATTTATCTTTAGATGATCATTGTTATATTAAAATAATGTTGATTCTTATATTTTCAGCTATTTCAGCCAAAGAAATGATACTACCACAGATAGTATTACAGAGACAACCTTAGTTAACATATCTAATTATCTTAACCGTTAACTTACACCTTGTTTTATCATAAATCTTTACTTTGTGACCAAGGCCAGTTCTTTCATGAAACTGTTCTCATCACCATCTAACACCAATTAAAATAGCATCTGCGAGGAAGTATAATTTTTATTTGTAAGGGACAGAGATCGAGATCAGATAAAACTTATGGAGAGTGTTACATGTTCACGTTCAGGTGGTTACTGCAGACAGCATCAAGAGGATGGTGTTGAATAGAGATAATTTTAGTTGAGAAAATTGGGTTGATTATTTGTGGTCGTTCATTGAAGTAGCCCTTGGAACTGACTGTATTTTCTTTGGTGAATTGAAATGATATCTGGTCTATTTTTGTGGGTATATTATGAAGTCATTTACTCCTCCAAATTGTTTATGTATATCCAGCCTACAATTATTATGAAATTTTCTACAGATTAGCCAATTATCAACTGTCAAAATATTGTTTGGCAGTCTTGGATTTAATGAAGTTTCACACCATTGTCATGCAATCTACCCATTTATTAATAAATATTCTAAACTGTATTACGTACAAATAATTGTGTTTCTGAGTGTCGGTGTAGATATGTTAGGTCTTATGGGGGTTGCAAGTTGAAATAACAAAGAACCTAATTGTCTTACATAGAAAGCAAAACTGAAGCTTTTAACAGGAATTTTGTGTAGGGGGGGGGGGGGGGGGGGGGGGGGTTTTACCCTTTTTTTTCCCCCCCCCAATTTTTGAAAATTAAAACG